GAGAGTTTTGATTTTGGTGAGAATAAATGATGAAGTTAACAATGTGGTTTTTCATTTTACACGATGATTTTGCATTACACATTGAATGTCTGTGAGGAGCATCACGTTTAGATGAATGAACTTGGAATTGACGAAGTGGTATTATGTGACTGTGTGATGATTGATGATATTAGTGATTCGACCAATTCAATACACGTTACTGTTTGACAGGAATAATTGATTCTCATCCGATTGTATCGAATTGATGGAATTCGATAATTGAGGAGATGTCAGCATTGAAGTAGCTTAGAGTAAGTAGTTGAAATCAATCAACGACTTGTTTACTCTATCAGTAATCATATTGATTCTTTAGTATTTGTGAACTGATTGCAAATTCGATCAGTTTGATGAACTTCACTTGATGTTAATTTGAATATGCAGATCGAATGAAGTTGTAAATGCTTTTAAATATTGTGTGATGTGTCGATGGTGTGGACTATGCATGTGCCATTATTTCAACGTTACTTGTGGTACTATACTGTCTGTGTTCACTTGAATTCGAGTTGAGTGTGCAACTATGAATTATATTTACACGGATATGTTTTGCAATCACTCATTGATTGGTTGTATAATTCTAATTATTACTTACATTGTGCATTCTTTCAATTGATTTTCATTATTCAGTGTAAGGTGCTCAATTATTTGTTCTGTGTGATCAGAGGATGCCATATTGTGATATTGGAGTGAAATTCCATGGGAATGATGATATTTTAATGGGAAAACACACTTATCATTCATCATCATCATCATTGATATAATCAATTAGATGTTGCCCTTAATTCTCTTTACTCTTGGTGTTAGATGTGTGAAATTCAATGTTTGCATTTGAAGTACCCTGCTACATTTGGTTGACTACCTATAGTGACCATACACAATCTAGTTACTGGATAGTTATACAACAAGAATGTATATATAATATAAGTCCATTAATACTTCTCAGAAGTTACCCGTAGTATAATCTCCACCAGGATGTAACACCTCCACTTTCTTCCTGGAAGTTTCGAAGTTTACATCCTGATTCACAAAAACGATATCTGTAACTGTAAATTCTCTCAGGTTATCCTCTACTACCAAATAATTTCGCATCATCATATCTCCAAGTTACAACTAATGTGACTTTCATTTCTCGCATTGAATGAAGATTTCACTCGAGAATACTAGATGATAATAATAAACGACATTTGAGTTTAGGTCATGAGGATATGATACTTTCGAAACACTGCCTTCAATTTCATTAAGGATCTTCGTTAGTGGATCACTAGATGGATCGGCGTCTATCAAAATTCCTTTACAATTTTGATTATCATTTGATTCATGTGATGATGTAACTTTCCTCATTTTTATAAGGAATTTCATTCATATTATGTTCATCACTAGGAGAAGCCATATCTAGTAAATTGACATGAAAAGTCAGATAAGAATTAGGTTGATTATGTGCTTCTGTTAGACATATGGACATCGATGCGTGTATTTGAAGTTACCTGTTGACAATGGCTGATCACGGTATATTGATCACTGTCATGCTTATCTAGATGTTAGATGTGATTCAAGTGGTTTGTTAATGGGTTGAAATGTTGGTCGGTATTAGTTTAACTGATTGGAGATTGCATCAATTATGTTCTGATGTGTATTGAGATTTTATGAAGAGCATCAGTTCTGAGCAAGATTGCAGTCACACGTTGCTGATTTGTCTCAACTGGTAGGATAATTAGATCAGTCAGAATTCCGTTTTGCATGATTCAAACTGCACAAAATCAGTTGAGCCTCACTCATCAGACTGGTAGAATGATCGCACATGAAACTGATCAGTTTACTAGATAAACTCACTGGGTAAATCGACTAGCAGACAACACAGAAGAGATTTTTCATTAATTAATTTATCGTATGATGCAACAGTGTTTGGGTGGACTTTTCAGTGTGAATCAATCAAGCAACTTCAATGTCGTATGAATGGTTCAAAGTGTCATTTCCTACTGAAAAGATTATGGTTTATGTGCTTGAATATGATGAGTAGCCTCTTACTTCGGGGTATTTTCAATGATTAAAATTTAATGTATAGTTCTATAACATGATAGATGGCTTATTGGGTGAAGTGCAAGCGGCAACCATTTCTTAAGCCATTCATTGTCATTATTCATCATGAAATGATTATTTGTAATCATAGATGTTGTGGTTTGTGTTATCCGTAATCTGATACTGCTACGCGATGATCTGAGTGTCAAATACCGTAAGTGACTACTTGATGGAGAACAACAGAGTGGACAAGAGAGTTTATTTGATTACTGAATCAAATACACAAGTGCTCATTTATAGGCGTAGAATTCTGCACGTCAAGAGAGTAAACCATTTCTCAGCTAATGAGATGGCATTTTTGATTCAGGTCAGTTCTGATCTCCATCGATTGACCTTGTGTTGTGCAATTTCTGTTAGGCTTTCCATATCATCAGGTTATTAGAACTTTTCACTTACTGAGTGTAATAAAAATATTCACCACGTTATTTTAATTAGTTACTGGTTACTGTGTAAAATCTATAATCTTTACTTTAAAGAGGTATGGTACGGTTAAATGATGCATTTCACGAAGGACACCGTTTGTTGACTAACTAAAAAGGGTAGTGAGAGTTCACTTCATCATTATCTGGAACTCAGTGCAAGTGGACACTACTAATATAGCAACAATACATAATCATTTATACTGGGCGCCCAATTTCTGTCAAACTATTCCTTCTAATCTTGACGAATATTCGTATATGCAATATATAATGGTTTGTCATTAGATGTGGTAGACTTACAATTTATCAGTCTGTATCTCTTACCTCCTTCAGTTCACAACATACCGTGTTCAACATCCATGATCAACAGTTATGTCTATCGTACTCCTAATATCATTGGAATTTCAGTGTAAACTTTTGTGGCGAGTGTTGAAAGTAACTTTCAATAATCAACATAAAGTGTGTTAACATGGCAAACCAGAATACGGTGGAAAACTTTCTTCTTCTATTATGCAACCACTGAGTAGTGCGAACCGGCGCCTTCACCGTCAATAGTATTTAAAAACGTCTGATATTACAGTGAGAGATGAAGGTGCTGGATTCGAACATGAATGTTTGGAATCTGTAAATTATAGTTTCTAGTTGAGAGACTCCAAACTGGGTCTGTTCTAGTTTTCATACAGGTCATCACCTCTCGTTTCACCGGTCGAAGAAAGGACGTTAGCAGTGTATTAGTCTTCATTTTAAAATTCTGGAACGTGGTTCGGTGATCGAGGTTGCCATTTCAGACACAAAAAGCACTTCACCGTTCAGCATTAAATAACAGGACATATAATCCCGACACGAAACAATGAAAAGAGAACGAGTACTCGAGCTTCAATGTTCCGATATTGACTTAGTTGTTTGCAGTCAACTCTAAACTGATTAACAACAGTTATTACAGGCTGTCCAATTCTTTATAATCTTAGAAGATATTCCGTTACTTATTGGCCATTTGTGTTAATGATACTGAAGCTGAACAATCTTCACACATCTCTTTGCATTACTAATGTGTTTGACTACTGATTTGTATTCAATTAGATTTGTGCTTTACACAACTATGACAAATTCCTGAATGCTGAAATCTTTTGAAATTAGCGCGCTTATCCAGAAATATCTTCCTTATTCTTTAAATGATATCAGTCTATGATTGAAAAATGATTTTCAGGAATCATTAGGATTAAGAGGCTTAAGTAAGTAAGTAAATAAGTAAGTAAGTAAGTAAGTGCTGAAGTAAGTAAGTAAGTAAGTAAGTAATTAAGTAAGTAAGTAAGTAAGTAAGTAAGTAATTAAGTAAGTAAATAAGTAAGTAAGTAAGTAAGTAAGTAAGTGAGTAAGCATGTAACTAAGTAAGTGTTGAAGTAAGTAAGTAAGTAAGTAAGTAATTAGGTAAGTAAGTAAGTAAGTAACTAAGTAAATAAGTAAATAAGTAAGTAATTAAGTAAGTGTTGAAGTAAGTAATTAAGTAAGTCAGTAAGTAAATAAGTAAGTATGTAAGTAAGTAAGTAAGTAAGTAAGTAGGTAAGTAAGTAAGTAATTAATGTAAGTAAGTAAGTAAGTAAGTAAGTAAGTAAGTAAGTAAGTAAGTAAGTAACGAATCATTGCAATAATAGAAACACAATCGATTTTCTTAAAATTGATTTGTGTATCTCGAGTTAATCATTATTACTGAAGGGTTTTATCTCTTTGACAAAATACATTTTATTCAAAAGTGTATTTTGGATATCTGAGTTAAAGACGATATTTTTTTACGTTTTCAGAGTTCATGTCATTATGTTAGGGTTTCGTAACGAATGTGCCAATCCGATTACCATTCCGTTAGTTTATGATCAATAATCTTGTTTTCTATGTTACATTTCACCAGTCAAGTATTTAAATTATGAGTATAGTTGTTATATGTGAACAGAAGAATATATAGAATGAGGGCGGTTAGGAGTTAGTAAGGACTATGATTATATACACTTACTCATTGTTTAATAACTAAGTTACAGATTATTTTCGTTGTATGTGTCATATTCCTTTTATTATCAGATTTCATTTGAAATCTTAATGATACCGATATTTGGTTTGTATCTCTAATCTTTTCTCCATCTTCTAGCTTGGCAGTTCTTTCACATGATACAGCCACGTTTCACTTGATCTTGTATTTCATGGTG